TAAAACCAAGTTCTTGGTAGAGCTTGTCCATTTGGGAGAATATTTTATAATTTCTTGAGCCACATTCTTCACTTTGCTTGGCTTATGGTCCTGTCTTCCATCTTCAAAGTCTTCTCTCTAAACTTTTGCCTCTCTCTTACAAGTACACTCATGATTTCCACTGGGCCCAACGAGATAATCTAGTAAAAATCTTCCCATAATTAATTCTTCAGTTACAATCTCACATTCCCTTTGTTAGTATTGTTAGGGACCATAAATTGAAACCAACTGATAACTGACTCTCTGATGGGTTTCCAGAAGCATTAAATTGCATGAGAGGAGATTGCCCATTGTTCAACAATGGAGCAGCTGGTGGGTTTGAACCATGTACCTTTACATTAACAGCATGATTCCTCACCACTATGCCACCAGAGTTCCCTTTGTTGTTGCTGTGTGCTCTCAGGTTGGAAATGACTCATAACTGACTCTCCAGTAGGTTTCCAAAGGCAGTAAATCACAAGAGAAACAATTGCCCATTTATCCTATGGAGGAGCAACTACTATTTTTTAGTTGCATGGTTCTTACCACTTGTTCTCCAAAGCTCAAGCTTCTGTGGACATATTTGTATGTCATTATTCAACCTACCATGGAATTTTCTTAACAACAGACCCTGAGAAGGAGAGATCCAAAGGAATCTGTCCAAACAATTGATTTCTATTTTATACCATTCTTGTATTTAGGTCTACTAGTCAACTCATAGTGACTTTATGAACAACAGATCTGAATGCTGACCTAACCTATACCATCCTTATAATTTCTGATACACTTGCGCCCGTTGCTGTAGCCACTGTGTCAATCTATCTCATTGAAGATCTCCCTCTCTTTCACCAACCTTCCACCTTTTCGAGCATGCCCCTATCCAAGGAAGAGCCTCTCCTAGCACCTTGCCCAAAGAATGTGAAACAAAGCTTGGTCATCTTTGCCTCCAAAGAGCTCTCTGGGTTCACTTTCTCCAAGACATATCTGAAACCATTAAGGGAGGAATTCTATGTAGTTCTGGACTGCATGACCCGGAAGCCAAGCTGTAAGATTAAGGCTGACTTGACTACCTGGCTTCTGGTTTCCTTGCCTTGCTTGTTTAGCCTAAAGATGTTCTTCTAGAGCTCAGGATCCAGGACAACGTCCTCTCATAGGAAGCGTCCCAAGGATACTACAACCCTTTTCTCCTTCAGTTCTGGCAATTATTTGTCTATTTCCTTTTCTCTTGAACAAGAAAGCATGCTAGCAAATTGTCTGAGTCTATTAAAAGTTGTTTCCATCCCTGCCTTTTACGTGTCATGAAAACGCCTTATTCCACACCCACTCATTGTTTTTAAACATCCTAGCCCTCCCTTCCTTTGACTCTAATTCCATCCTTCCGCCACCTCTTCAGTTTTCTTAAAATACTCGAGATGTCACCTGTTTGTTTTGTTTATAAAAATATCCTATTTAGTTAACAAGTTATTTCTTAATTCTACAATAAACTGTTAATTCATTCTATTTTCTAATATTTCTATTTTAGATCCAGATTTCCCCCCGTTGTTTCAATACTACATGTTTTCTTTTTTTAGCCAAATTTGAAATGGCTCTACTTTTCTGCTTATATATTCTAGTTTTGTATTTTTGCTGGATCTTGGTCATTGTTCACAGAAAATTTTTTTCTTTCTTTTTATTTTGTTGTTGTTATATGTCATCCAGTTGCTTGTGACTCATAGCAACCCTATGTACAAGAGCCTTAAAAGCCATTCTATCCTGTGTCAACCTAGCTATCTCCAACACACTCATTCCCACCGCTCCAGTCACAGAATCGATCCATCTCATCGAAGGTCTTCCTCTCCTGTGCTGCCCCTCCACTCTGCCAAACATGATGTCCCTCTCCAAGGACCAGTCCCTCCTTGCAACATGCCCAAAGTATGTCAGATGAAGCTTCAGAATCCTTGACTCCAAGGAGCATTCTGGCTTCACCTTCTCCAGGACAAACCTGTTTGTTCTCCTAGCAGTCTATGGTATATTCAACACTCTTCTCCAGCACCACAGTTCAAAGGCATCAATTCTCTTTCTATCATCCCTATTCACTGTTCAACACTCTGATGCATAGCACTTAATTGTGAAGACTATAGCCCAGGCACACCTTAGTCTCCAGCCTGACATCGTTGCTCTTGAGTACTCTTGAAAGGTCCTTCACAGCTGACTTTCCCAATGCAATTCGTTGCTTTGATTTCCTGGCTGCTGTTATCAAGAGTGTTGACTGTGGAACCAAGTAAACTAAAAGTGTTAACTATCTCAATCTCTTCACCATCCATGTCTTCACCAGTTGACCCAGTGGTGAGAATCTTTGTTTTCTTGATGTTGAGTTTCAATCCATATAGGAGGCAGCAAGCTGTGGCTGATTCTAAGAGGAATTGGAATCCCAGAACATTTGATTGTGCTAATGTGAAACCTCTACTTGGACCAAGAGGCAGTCGTCAGAACAGAACAAGGAGACACTACGTGGTTCAAAAACAAGAAGGGGGTCATTCAGGGTTGCATTTTGTGTCTATACCTTTTCAATCTGTATGCAGAACAGATCATCTGTGAGGCTGCGCTGTACGAGGAGGAATGTGGCATCAGGATTGGTGGAAGAGCCATCAACAACCTGCGTTATGCAGATGACACAACCTTTTTTACTTTAAATATGTATATTTACCTATAGCTGTCTGTTTCTCTCTGTATATCTCAAATTTTTTTCTATGTTTTACTTATTTTCATGAAGATATAGACATTGAAAAGATATTTACTCTAAAGATGTGTACAGGGTGTTTTTTGGTGTCTTTTTCTCAGTGGATGTAATTTATGCAGCATCCCAATACTCATAAGATTGTAGGATTTTAAAAAATGTAGCAAAATTACTCAACATCGTGGTAAAATTTAAACTAATACAATCCTTAAAGATGTGTATAATTTTGTGAGGACTATTAGATTTCCAAAGAGATCTAAGAATTATTAACAATTTTCTTTAAAATGCCATTTTGTAGGACTCTCCACCACCATCCTTAAATAGATATTTTACAGTGCAATAGAAGAGAAAAATTGACAAATTAAGCTTACTTAGTTCTAGACTTGGATGCTATCATTTCAATGATTTTTTTTTTTCAAATGTAAGATCTCTGGCGGTGTATTGGTTAGGGAATTTGACAACCAACCAAAAGTTTGGTGGTTCAAACCCAGAAGCTGGTCTTCTAGAGAAAGATATGGCTGCCTGCTTTTGTAAAGTTTCATAGCCTTAGAACCCTATGGGCAGTTTTACACTGCCCTCCATTATCTGGAAACTAAAGTGTTCCTGATCTAGACCATGGTCTTTGCAATTACTTGTTATGCATCAGAGAGATGGACAATGACTAAGGATGATAGAATAAGACTCAACGCCTTTGTGTTGTGGTGCAGAAGAAGAGTATTGAGTATACTATGAACTACTAAGAGAAAAAACAGGTCCATCCTGGAGAGAGTGATACCAGAATGCTCCTCAGGGGCAAGGATTTTGAAGCTCCATTTTACATACTTTGGGCATGTTGCCAGGAGGGACTGGTTCTTGGAGAGGGACATCATACTTAGAAGGATGGAGGGACAGCGCAAGAGAGGAAAACCCTGGATAAGATGGGATGACTCAGCAACTAGGGTAATGATGGTAGGTGTGTTAGAGACAACGAAGTTGGCTCAAGATAGAGCAGAGTTCAGAGCTATTGTACATAGGGTCATTATGAGTCTCAGGTGACTCAACAACACATAATAATATTATTAGTAAAAGTTCACTCAAAGTTGTATATTTGTCTATGATGATGTAATATAATCATAGTATATACTTCGTGAGTCAGATGTGTCTGTCTTGTTTATTATTGCATCACCAGCATTTATTAGTGACTGAATATTAGAATAAATGGATGAAATAAACTGGAATATAGTAAATGAATGAAAAATATCCATTGATAGAATTTATCAATTGACAGAATGACTTTTTTAAAAATAACATATAGTCAATATAAGCCACGTATCAAAATCAGAGCATCAAACTACAAATTTTTAAGTTTTTAACTAGATATGCATTCTCTCCAAGCTGATTTTAAGATAAGTAGTACCTTATTGCTTCAAAGGCACTAATTCAATTATGTAAGATAAAGAAAAAGGTAAAATGTTTGAATAGTTTATGAATTGATAAATTCAGAGATATTTACATTTCATGTAGTATTCTCCACATAAAAAATTAAATATACTCTGGAATTTTTACAATATTGAAATACTATTTTTTTAAGTCAGTGGTAGGTAATGAAAATAGCACTGACATTTTAGGAAGTTAGTATGTTGTTGAAGAAGAGCACAGAATATGCCATGGACTGCCAAAACCAAACAGCTATGGCTTGGAAAACGCGCAGCCAGTGTTACTCCTGGGAGGCAAGGATGGCAAAGTCTCATCTCACGTACTTTGAGAATATTGCTAGGAGAGTCTATTCCTTGAAAATTCAGAAATTTCCTCATCATGCTCGGAAAGGTGGAGGGATACTAAAGAGAAGAAAACCCTCAATGAGATGGATTGACATGGTGATAGCAGCAATGGGTTCATGTGTCAGAGATGATGTGGATGGCACAAGAAAGGTCAGGATTCAGATCTGTTGTTAATAGGGACTTTATGAGTCAGGAAAATGAAAGTGGTTAGATATTATCATTTCTGACATAGAAATGAACATAGGGTAAAGGGAATATCTTCCTCCCCATCCTTTTTCAATTTGCTATTTTTTTAGAATTTTGTAAGGGAATTGGTTCACTTTGATTTCATTGAGTATAATAATAGTATATATAAGCGTAATTTATTTAAAGTGAAGATATCTTATTAAAAGATGTCATTTTGAAAGCTTACTTTAGAATATTATTTTTTTTTCTTCGTATTCATTTCTTGTTAAAAATTTTTACAAAGGAGTAAATATATCTTTTTTTCTTTTTCTTGTCTTTAGAATGGCTTCACACCTTTATATATGGCTGCCCAAGAGAATCATATTGATGTTGTAAAATATTTGCTGGAAAATGGAGCTAATCAGAGCACTGCTACTGAGGTAAGTCTGTTACCCTAGAGATTCCAGTTCTTTGAGCCTTTTTCTCGCTTTCAATGTGCGTACGTGCACACACACACACACACACACACACACACACATAAATATATCCAGTCACAAATAATAGCTACCCTCTTGTCCAAAACACGTTAGTAAAATTCATGTTACTAATTCTATTGCAGTGGCCCATGGCCCAGGAATGTACACATAGTTTATGCCTTTGTTTTTGATTCATGTAAATTTATCTTCCCATGAAATCATGCTTCTATCAATTTGAAATATTCTTTCTTTGAGAGTTTTTCTAAAAAAAATCTAAAATTAAATAAAAAGAAATTCTCACATCTCTACATCAACTTATCCTTGTTATTATCTGAAACAATTTAAGAGAATTTTTTTCAATGATACAGTTAATAGTTGATGATGTTATCATGAATCCATAGGGAATTATCACTATCCCAGAAATCTATATTTTCTGGAGATCAAATTTTGATGCATGCTTGTGTTGCTTTGAGCATGGCAAGGGTTGAGTAGGCTGTTTGAGATGAATACAGTTTTAAAGTTAATGGTATCAAAATATGAGAATCTAGTGGAAGGTCCACTGTGACTTGTCTGACCCTATGGCAAAAATAATAAGAGAGATGAGAAAGGGTTGAAGTGGGTAACAACTTCTAGACCTATCACTCAATCTAGTCTATCACTTTCCTTTTTCTAAGGATTCCCTCTTTAAGTGGAACGAACTTTGCATTTTTTCTTCATAGTTTAGATCAAGAAGCAAGTTCAATGGCTGCCTAGTACAGTGGTTTTTTTCCTACATGACCCTTCCAAAGCTCCTATTATTGGAGACTAAGCCTCAAGAGTTACTGGAAGGTGTGTGAAGGGTAGTGAAGGCGTCTGGAGAAGAGGAAAAGATAACTTCTTTGGGATGGGCTCTCCTTACCCATTTCTCCTAAACCATGCAAAAATGTATTGCTTATTATGAATACATTACTGTGTGACTCCACTGATAAAAATCCAAAATTTTCTGCCCAAGTAAAAGATGACTTGCCATACATATTGATAATTTTTTACCTTCAATATGATTTCTTTTCTTAAAAATTAAGTCCTTAGGGGGATATCTGGTGGCTTAGTGGTAAGAAACTGCACTATAATCCTGAAGGCACGTGGTTTGAATCCACCAGATGCTCTGCTGGAGGAGAGAAAATCTCCCCCTGTGTCAGTTGGATTTGATTCGGCAGTACACACAAGAAAAAAAAATTAAGTCGTTAGGTAAAATAAATATTTAACTTCCTCCCTCTACTCCACATTTGGTGCTTGTATGGCAGTAGAGGGAGGCAGAATCACTAAGATCTATTAAACCCATTTGGAGTCCTTTTGAGAGATAACATTTTGTGAAGCCAATAAATAGTTGTAATAACTTCATGACAGCTTGTTCTCATTTAAAAACCTCAAATACGATTATAACTTGAAAACTTAGTTTCTACCCCAGCTGCCTAGTATGAAATGATTTCAAATTCTCTATTGGGGATCTCTGGTAGCCTAGAGTGTTGAGAGTTAAGCTGCAAAAACCCAAAGGTGATATCTCTCTGTTGGCTTAAATCCACCAACAGCTCTGTGGAAGAAAGACAGTCTCTTCCCCTTCAATGTATCACTTCTTTAAATCTGTAGAAGGTCTGCTATGTGTCAGTTCTGACTTGATGGCAATGTCAACCTGTTACTCAGTTCACAAAGATCTCCAGTTACCAGTTGCACTGCTAACATGAAGGCCATTTGTTCAAATTCGTCAGTTACTCTGAGGGAGACAAATGGGAAGTCTTATTGTGTAAAGGTCCACAGCCTCAGAAATTGAATGGAGGGTTCCTGTGAGCCAGATCAACTCCTTGACAGGGTTTGGTTTGGGTTTACCTTCAAGATACACAGATTTTACCCTCTTGCTACGTAGTATAGTGTAATTTTTTTTTTTAGTTGGGACAGACATTATCTGAAATACTAATTCTGACAGGAAATAAACAAGTGAATAAACAAGGCAAAGATTAGTTGGGCACCAATATGAGACTATACCTCTTCCCCATGACCACTGAAAAGTGTACCAAGATATAAAAATCTATGTTGTTTGATTTCATTTGATTTTGAAGACAGAATCTATTTATCAGGAAAACAGAAAAAAAAACTTCAAAATTTTCCACTATAAGATTCTTCCAATTACCAAATAGATTCCATGTTTTTAATATTAATATAAGAGTTGTATGACTAGGGCTGATAGAAGGAGAATTGATGCCTTTGAGCTGTGTTGTTAGAGAGGAGAAGAGTATTGAATATACCATGGACTGCTAGGAGAACAAACAGGTTCATCCTAGAGAGGCTGAGACCAGGCTGATCCTTGGAGTAAAGGATTCTGAAGCTTCATCTGATGTACTTTGGACATGCTGCAAAGCAGGACAGTCCTTGGAGAAGGACTTGATGCTTGGGAGGGATAGGACAAGAGAAGAAGGCCTTCGATGAGGTGGATTGATTCAGGGACTGGGGTAATGGGGGTAGGTATGTCGAAGACAATAAAATTGGTACAGGATAGAGCAGGGTTCAGGGCTGTTGTGCATGGAGTTGCTATGAGTCACAAGGGACTCAAGGGCACATAAAAACAACAACAATTTACCAAATAGAATCAATGTGTCTAGTGTACAGTTTAGGCAAACCTCAGCTTGCTGGCATTCTCAGCTGTCCCCTGGCTCCTTTCATCTGCAGAGCCCTGCTGCATTTCTTTCAGCTTCCAGAAATACCCATTTCTGTGCATTGCATCCATGGAGATCATGTTACACTGTGATTTCTTTAGAAAGATAAAAGTTCTTCTGCTATCCATGGAGAAAAATGAGTTGTGAAAATAATCATATGAAGTACTGAAGTATAGCTTAAACACATATCCTGTTAATATCTCATTTTTAGAAAAATATAAGTAGCTAGAACTATTTTTTTCCATGACTGGTGTTGTTAGGTGCCATCAGGTTCGCTATGACTCGCTGTGACCATATGAACCACAGATCTGAACCTTGTCCTACCCTGCACCATCTTCAAGATCTCTCTGACATGTATTCGTAAGCCTATTGTTACAGCCACTTGGTCTAGCCATCTTATTGGTGATCTTCTTGATTAGATCGTTACAAATTTAGTTGGTTACCAAGAAGCAAACATCTGGGAAAACCTTTATCTTTCCCTTTTAGTTTATTATCATTCTGTTAAAAGAAATTCTTTACAGGACTACATAATTGATTAATATTTCATATCCTTCTCCATAGAAAAAGATACCATGTTGGGAAGGGCTGTGGCCAGAGGAAGAGAGGATGAGCAGAGAGTGTGAGGATGGTACAGAATAGGGCAATGTTCCAGTCTGTTGTTCATAAGGTCTTTATGAGTTGTAGGCAACTTGACAGTACATAAAAATAACATTTCTCCCAATTACAGGCAGTCTTATACACACACATATGAATATACTTTAAGAATACACCAACTGAATCTGTTAGTTGATCTGTCTGAATCAATGATTAATCACGATGTTACAACTACTTAACAATCACGTAATTGTAAGATAATTCAATATGGTAATAGAACTCACTTTTGAACAAGATATTTAAAGTTTTAAAATTTCACATAGGTGACTGTTGTTGTGTAACTGACCCATAGCTGATCCTCCAGCAGGTTTTCAGAGGCAGTTAATCTCATTCAGGGGGTGAAATTGCCCATCCTTCTCCCCCAGGACATGTGGTGGATTCAAACCGTGTGCTTTGGGGTTTGCAGTGCAGCTTCCTGCCAGTAGGCCACCAGTGCTCCCTAAAATTTCACATAGTTCTAGCAATTAACATTGCTAGATAAATTATGAGATAAAGTAAAGCTGCTGAATGTTAGTACTGGTTTTCTGTGGTAGTTTTTTCTCCTTGCAGATAGTTAAGGCTTTTCAGCAATATGGTTGATTGTTAACTATCTTTCCTTTAAAATTTAAAATAGGAACGCTAATTACTCATCACACATAATTTAATATCAAAGTATTTCATTAAAAGTTATTAAGTGCAAGGATAATGAACTAGCCTGACTTATCAAAGAGTTCAGTATATTATACTCCTGAATTGAATTGATAATAGAGCATCTCATCCAGTTATCATTCTCCCCTCCCTTGTATTGGTTGACTTTATTTTAAAAAGCAAATTGTATAGTTGATTATTTATTTTATTTCTCCTTCTGAGTTCTTATGTCCTTGCTCCCTAATCAGAATTGACACCTGTTCTTTCCACCTCTCCTGCCTCTTTACATTAGCAAGCATTGCTTAGTCGGGATTCTGCTTTCTACTTTACCTTTGTAAAATATGCATTTATGGTGTATCTCCAGAATGCTTGCTAAGCAGCGGGGAGATTTTTCAAAATATGTAGAAGAAAATATGAAAACAGTCTGATCAAAGTAGTTTCTACTATGGCAAATTATTATAATTATAATTCCATTTTAAACATCACAACACTATTTGATTCTATTGCTGTTCAATTTGAATTATTAAGAACTAGTAGTAATACTTTTGCATAGTACTGAATTCCAAGTGTCCAAAAGTTATTGGAAGGCTTTTTCCTTCTGTTTCTTTTGTCACCAGGATGGCTTCACACCCCTCGCTGTGGCGCTCCAGCAGGGGCACAACCAGGCAGTGGCCATCCTCTTGGAGAATGACACCAAGGGCAAAGTGAGGCTACCGGCCCTACATATTGCAGCAAGGAAAGATGACACCAAATCTGCCGCACTCCTGCTTCAGAATGATCACAATGCTGACGTACAATCCAAGGTAAAAGCTGAAAGCATTTATGGAAATTGAACTCTCCGGAAAGCCAGATTCTTCCAGGGATATGAGAAAGTCGTAGGCTGTAGTGACAGTGCAAATTTCCTTATGGTCATGAAAAGAGAAAAATTAGTTTCTGAGGTGTTTCAGAAAGAAAGGGACTATCTATTGGGTACAGTAAAAACAATGAAAGAAGAATGAATGCAAGATGATTATTCTGAGGTTCTACTTTTGAGAAATCTCATTTACTCTGTTTATTTTCATAAGTAATGGAAACAGAAAGGTAAAGCCATGTTGTGTTCATAGGATATGTTTTCAAAGGCATTTTGGTGTGTTAGAAAAGTAGGATGAATTGTAATGAGCCACTTAACGATTTCTTTCCTTTTGCACTGTGTAACGATTTCCCTCTTTTTTCCAAACAACACTGCTTCAGATGATGGTGAATAGGACAACTGAGGTACAGTATTGTGGTTATATCAAGATATATATTATTTTATGGTTTTAAAAAATTTCCTTTCTCCAAATTAAAGTAAATGCTCACTAATATATGCTAATAGAGTTTTTCTTATTTGGAAATTAATTTGGAAAATTTCCCCTATTAAAAGCAAATTAAAGCTTTAAAATAATTTAAAATAAGACATTATTCAATCAGTGAAACCATCTAAGTAGTTTATCTAGGTAGAGCATGATATGAAATTCTAAGCCAATATGGAATTTTAGTTAAAACTGGTCCTATCAATAATTGACCAATAACTTTTTGTTAAGAAGAGGTGTGATCACATTTTCTTAATGAGATCTCTCACTTTAGAGCTTAGAAAAGTGAAAATTAGGGTAATTTTTCTTCCACCCTGTTTTAACCTTTAACAGCAAGGCTTTGTCCCCACTCTCGTTCTGCTTTCTATTTTTCCTTTACTTCATTCTATATAATCAATAATGATTACTGAGTATTTTATAAGCTAACCATTTGCTTTTATCTTACTAATTCTTGAAATTCTTGTTATGAAATCATATTTTCCTCCAACCCAAATAAGGTATATCCATCCAAGAATATTAATTCCAGAAACCTGTGTTTGTGTATGTGTAGCTAGAAATCTCTCTTTGGCCACTGCTACAGAGATAAAGTAAAACAAAAATTGTAAAAGTATGTTTTAAAGATTAACCTATATTCCAGAACAAGCAGTCACACAGCTTGACTGCAGTTTCATTAAGGGGATTCTTTAAACTAACGTGACCAAAAAAACCACAAAACCCAAAACAAAAAAACTCAGTATCACATTTGGTTGCTAAACTGTATACCTGTAGTAGTTTAGAAACTGCACTCCTCATGTTTACCAAGAACAATGTGTTTCCATGATTTTAATCTTATATTTAGACAAATTTACCCACTAAGGTATAAAGATATTTTTGTTATTCTCATAATTTCTTTTGTTACCTATCCTTGCATGGAATCTTACTCAGAAGTTTCATTTTGTAAAAGGTCTTACTGATAGGTGAAATTATTCAAGACTGAATCATAAAAATGACTTTTTAGTTATTTATATTCTTTGACGTTTAATTCATGTTTTTGGAGATTGCTTAAGAGAAATTCTTGACAATAATATTAACTAGCAGCATCATGTTGAAAGGAGAAGTTGCTATTAAGGCAACTCTGACTCCTCATTGGTCCTTGTGGTTCAGAGTAGAACTGTGCTCCACAGGGTCTTCAAGGAGTGATAATTTGGAAATAGATCTCCAGAACTTTCATCTGGTGACTGACAAATTTTTTTTGTTAAAGTCTACTGGATTAACAGTTTGTGATACTCAAGGATTTTCTAACACATAGGTCTTCAGTTACTTCTTAATGGTTAGTCTTGAAATATTCCTCTGAGGATATAGTATAGTATAAAATGGAGCAAATAGCTATATCTTTAATTCTGTAGAAAGATTAACTCTGCCTCCTACTTTCTTGTACATTGGGCTGAGTGACTCCGACCAGGCTTAAAACAATTTTGTGTTATTCTAAGAATCACAGTCTGCTGTATTATCATGGATGGTCCATTACGTTGTCAGATAATAAATTAGTTTATTTTGAAAAATGAGTACTGTAATATTATTATACTTATTTTGATTTGAAAATTATTCACCAGCAGTTTTTCTGAAATCAAATTGGAGCTTGAATAATAGGCACCGATTCCAGATATGTCTTTATGGCAGGAAATAGCAGGATAAAGTGGAAAAAATAAATTATTTTTAAAAAACCCATAAAATCTTGACATTATTTAAAATCATGGCAAGATTGAAGTTGGATTTTTTTACCCTCTATTTTCAGTGAATATTTGGTAGCGGGTGGATACAAAAATATCTTCACTATAGTCCTCAGATTTGGTTTAAGAATTAAATTGGTTTTTGTTGTTCTGGCTTTGATAGATAGAAATATTGCTGTTAGCCCAAAGGTATTTTTTTCACTAGACTGACTGTTTAGGATTTTGAAAACTGTTTCCAAAACCAATGAAGTGAGTAGGAAAGAACCGTTGTGACTTAGAAGACATTCCTTAAATACTTTGCAAAATACATTTCAAAGAAAACAATATGAAATCATCTCAAAATCACAGGCGCTCTGGTGGCCTAGTGGTAAGGGAATGTGGTGCCATCCCAAATGCACATAGTTTCAATCTACCAGCTGCTCTGTGGGAGAAAGATGGGCAGTCTCCTCCCTCATAATTAACTGACACTGAAAACCCACTAGACGCTCAGCTACGGACCAGTTCTGACTCAACATACAAAGCAACAACATTTTTTCTATACTTTTTTATTAAGTAGTGAAAATAATCTGTGACACCGACGTGTCAAATGCGTTAATGGTTGGCTACCCAGTGCTGACTAAGAGTAGGGTGGAGCTCCCCGATTAAACAAGCTTGGAAGGAGGAGTGGCATCCACTTCCATAATAGCTTGTCTCAGGAAACCCTATGAACCTGGAGAAAGGATAAAAGACACCCAAGCGTCGAGGACTCTCCTTCATAGGGTCGCTATGAGTCACCTGCGACTCGATGGCACTTAACAACAACAACAACAGTAAAAATTATAGAGGAAAAAAATAATCACTTTTGTATAATTTTTCATGAGAAAAGTGATATTATGCTTCAACTGTCAAAATGGCAACGTTTACTAATAAAATTTTCATCAGGAAATGAGGTGAAAATGAACATGCTTTTCTTCCATTCCATTTAGCATTTTCAGGCCAATGTCTAAAAATATTCTGAAAGCGATGACGTCTTTAGTTCCTATCTAACTGATTTAACCTAGTTAATCCTTATTTTATAGTTAAACTGGTTCGATCTCATGCATTAAGTTTTTTTCCTGTTTGTGTTGAATCCAAATATATTGGTAACTTTTAGTGCTTAACCTTTTTTATTATTATTGCACTGGCATAGTCTGACCAAAGACAATGCAGTTATTTACAACCTTATTGCACTAAAATTTAGAATCTTATGAAAGCATTTATCGTCTGAATTATGTTGCTCTTATGTTGGTTGCCATGTAGGGTTTTTGCTAATTCAGGACTGCAGCAAATAGACAAAAACTGCTTTACTGACCGTCATTTTATCTGCTTTCCCTAGAGTGGTTTTACCCCTTTGCACATAGCTGCACACTATGGAAATGTCAACGTGGCCACCCTTCTTCTAAACCGGGGAGCTGCTGTGGACTTCACAGCCAGGGTAGGCCCTGAAATAGCTTTTTATTTTAGATGCCAGCAAATGAATATTTTACTGTGAAGCTGTGCTTGAAAAGTAAGAGTAATGATTGGCTCTCTTAAAGGTTTTATTTCTTTTTTCCTTGATTGCATCTGTGCTAGTGATATTACCATTTTCATCTCTTCTTTCAAATCACAGAAGTCAGCATAACTCGAACAAGTGAAAAATAAGACTTATAAATTCATATGCTCATAAAACATTCAGTTAAGGATTATATTAATTCAGACATCTTTCTTTAAACTTACACAGGCTGTAAATTATATTTAGATTTAAAATTTAAAAAGACTACTTTATTAATATTTTTCCTTATTTAATAATGAAATAAGGTTACTTGTAAAATTGCTATTTACATAAGCCTAGACCAATTTTAGGTTAATAGACAATGAAATTCTTAAAATGTTAAGTTAATGTACAAGTACTATATTATAAATATTGTAAAGCACACAGTGTGATAGGAAATTTATAACAATTCTTATTGAGAATTTGCTCATGAAAAATCCTATAAAAATACCAAAAAGACATATTTTATGTATCTTTAGTTGTTCACTTTTATTGCAGAGACTTAAACTACTTTGTAAATAAAGCTCAGTATATTGATATAAATAAAATAATGTAATGTTTTCATATAGTAAAAATTTACAAATGTCCATTGGTGATTATCCTTATAAAATAAGAATACCAACTAAAAAATGTTTAAAAAATTAGACATGAAGGAAAAGAAAATATGTATTTTTGCTATCATTATAAGTAGCCAATCAAATATTGCCATTGATATGTATAGAAATTTCTGTCCTAACATGCTGTCTGTACTGAAACAACTTTGTTTTCATTTTAAAGCTTTGAAAATTTTTTGCTTACTTGTTTATTTTTTGTTATTGAACCATTCTGAAGATGTTTTAAAGAATCCTTTTTTTCCCAAGAGACATTATCATGTATTTATATTCTGCTTTAAAGCATACGAAACTTTGTGATTCCTGAATATTTTAAATACAAGAATTTTATAAAAGGAATGAATTTGAACTAGCTAGGTTTTAAACTTTTGTTTGCATTACACATCAGTTCTTCCTTTGTGTCTCAGCAGTAATGTACACTTGACTTAAAGATATTGACTAAATTAGCTATGTAGTATCATCCCATGCTCTAACTCTAGTGGTTTTTGTTTGTTAGTTCTTTTTTCCCTAAAAATCAAAGCTACTGAAACATTAGAAACCTTGATCAGGTTACTACATGGGTCACATCTCCTTGTGCCCTTTAGCAAAGTCGTCAACATCATGCCCTGTCTCACCATCTTACTCTTGTTTTATCCATCTTACTCTTTGTTTATCCATCTTACTCTTGCTTTGTCCCTTTGTGGTGTAGAATGGAATCACTCCTCTACATGTGGCTTCCAAAAGGGGAAACACAAACATGGTAAAGCTCTTACTGGATCGTGGAGGCCAGATCGACGCCAAAACTAGGGTGAGTGTCTCCATTCTATCAATATCCTATGACTGCTATTTCTTTGTATCCTCCTATCAAGCTAATTAAAACATCAACCCATAACAAGGGCAGCATGTTTTCAAGGGAATTTCTTTCTTGGATTTGATTGAAATCTCATGCAATGTTTAAGCATTTCACATCATAAAGTGAAATTAATATTTGCTCATAAGAGCGCAGAGAAACAAACTGCTAATCTCTCAATGTGACAGTTTGCCTAGCCTTTTTTTATTTTTCTGGGACTAGACTCAAAAATTGGATTTATTATCTCTTATTTCATCAGTTGTGAATATCAAGAAGCTAAGCATCTTAGTGGGTATTAGTCTATGAGACTGTGGTATTTACAAAAAAGAATTTGAGTTCATCTTGAAATTATCTGTCTTCCCTTCTTTTTCAATGCCTGATACATTTTCTTACCTGATTCTGTTTATGGACAATTAATATGTTTTTTATCTTTGTAAGATACTATAGCCTTCATTCATCTCAAACTTGTTAATAAACTATGACTCTCCTCATGTACTACCAAGACAGAACAGACTTATAGCTAAGCCTCCAGTGGGTTTCAAGTGGCAGTAAACCACATAGGAGGAGAATGTCCATCTTCTTCCTAAGAAACATCTGGTAGATTCAAACCACATGCCTTTGGCTTGGCAGCACAGCTCTTTACCACGGATGCCAAGCACCCTATTTTAGAAATAGTATCAATTGTTTAACTACTCAACAGAAAACCACCAGAAATACAAGCGGGGTTTAAAAGAGGCCATGGCACTAGAGACTTTATTGTCAATGTCAGATGGATTGTGGCAGACACCAAAGAGCACCAGGGGAATGTCTATATATGTTTCATTGGGTATGCAAAGGCATTTGACTGTGTGGATCACAACAAATTATGGCTAACTTTGAAAAGAATGAGAATCAGAGAACACTTGATTGTGCTTATGTGAAACCTATACTTGAACCAGGAAGTAATCCTCAGAACAGAACAAGGAAACACTGCATAGTTCAAAATCAGGAAGGGAATGCATCAGGGATACATTATGTCTCCATACTTTTTCAATCTATATGCAGAACAGATCATTTGGGAAGCATGACTTTATGAGGAGGTGTGTGCTATCAGTATTAGAGGAAGACTCATTAACAACTTACTATATGCAGATGGCACAACTTTGTTTGCACTTGCTACAAAAGGTCAAGGACTGGAGTCTTCAATATGGATTGAAGCTCAACATCAAGAAGACAAAGATTCTCACCACTGGGCCAATTGGCAGCACCATAACAGATGGAGAAGAGATTGGGGTTGTTAACAATTATAGCTTGCTTGCCTCCACAATCAACACTCTTAAAACCAGCAGTCAGGAAATCAAAAGATGAATTGCATTGGGGAAATCTGCTGTCATGGACCTCTCCAGAGTGCTGAAGAACATCAATATTAGTCTAGATACAAAGGTGTGCCTAATCCAGGCCATGGTCTTCTCAATTACATGTTATGCTTCAGAGAGTTGGACAATGACTAAGGATGACAGAAGAATAGATGCCTTTGAGTTGTAGGGCTGGAAAAGTTCATACCATGAACTGCCAAGAGAGGGTGATACCAAGTCTTTCCTTGGAGGCTGGGCTTTGAAGTTCTGCCTCACTTACTTTGGACACATGGCCAGGAGAGATCAGTCTTTGGAGAAGGACATCATGCTCAGAATGGTGGATGGACAGTGCAGGAGATGGAGACCCCAGATGAGATGAATTGATACAGTAACTGGGGTGATGGGGGTTGGTGTGTTGAAGTTAGTTAGATTGGCTCAGGACAGGGAAGGGTTCAGAGCTGCTGTACATAGGGTCATACATCACAGATGATGCAATGGTACATAAAAACAATAACATAATATGACAGGTTTGAAAGCAGGAGTGGCATCTACTTCCTAAACAACATGCCTCCAAACTCTATGAACTTTGATAAATGTCAATAGTTGTAGAGGGGCTTCAGGATTTTTTTTCATAGGGTCACTGTGAGTCATGCTCAACTTGAAGGCAATCAACAACAACAACAACAACATTTCCTCATTTAAGACCATTCCTAACAGTAACTCACTTTAAAGTAATGTTTCTTTCTCCATTGAAAATGTCAAATCATTAAGAGTATCAGTAAATCATTCTGTAGGTTGAGCAAATAATCCTGAAAACTGGATTATATGAAGAAGAATACAACATAGAATTAGGGTTGCAGGAAGACTCTAACAGCCTGCAATGTACAGAGATGACACAACCTTCTTTGTAGAACTTGTGAAGACTTGTTGCACTTACTGATGATGAAGACTTGAAGTTTCTATTGGTGAAATTTAAAGACTACAGCCTTCCATATAGATTATACTTCAATATCATGATAATAAAAATACTCACATATGGAGTAGTAAACTATATTATTGAAGTTGTCAAGTGTTTTACTTAGATCCACTATCAACCTCCATAGAAGCAGCAGTCAATAAATCAAATGAGGCTCTTTCTGTGCCCAGCAAAGACCATGATTCATGATCCCAAGAAGCATCTGAAGCATGTAGCAGCTCCAAAACATTGAATGATTCTGAAGCATATAGTGTTTCCAAAATATTGAATGCTGCGCAAACTGACTGGTGTATTTGCTCATCCATCTTCTGGTCCCACAAACGGACATGTTTGCCAGTAATTGTTTTCTTAAGAAACAGACCAAAATATATCCTGACAGGAGGTAAAATTGAAAAGATCTGCATACAGCAGTTCATTAAGAATAATGGCAAAGTCTGAATTGATATAACCTACCTTGTTGTGTTTATGGATATGATCAATGTTGACAAGATTGGAGACAATTTCCATTTGATCTATGACACTAAAGTTTGATTTGCTGTTTCCTGCATTACACCTGAGGAGACAAAATACACACAGTGCAAAGTAAGAAAGATCTTCGTGAGTTGAACATTGATTAAGGATTACAGTAGAACAATTGCTGTCTTCAAATTGTGGTGCTGGGGAAGAGTCTTGAACATACCATGGACTGCCAAGAAAACAAAAGGGTTTGTCTTGGATACGGCAGAACCAAGTTTCTCCTTGGAGACTAGGATTTTTAAGCTCCATCTCACATAATTTGGGCATTTGGCCAAGAGAGACTGGTCCTTGAAGAAGGACATTATGCTTGGAAGAGTGGATGGACAGAACAGGAGAAGAAGACCCCAGAAGAGATGGATTGATACAGTAACTGGAGGTTGATGTGTTGGAATTAGTGAGACTGGCTCAGGACAGGCCAGGCTTTAGAGCTGCTGTGTTAGGGTCACTATGGGTCACAGGAGACTAGACAGAACATAACAAACTATGACAACATCTGGTACCCAGGATGCTTGAACCATCCTCTGCCCTAATCCTCTCATCAAGGTGACTGATATCATTCAAATTCAAATTGTTTGGGAGACTGGAAGATTATTTATTTCAAGTTACATACTAGTAACTTGTGCATGGTGACTAGAGGTGCTAACCTGAAAATAGTTAGTGTAATCACTAACTGAGAGAGACAACCTGGCTCTTTTCATGTGGTTCATGTGAAAGATGTTAATTGCAACAATGGCATTTTCTTCCCCAAGGAAAATGTCTCACCTCACTATTGCTGAAAGAGAGAAAAGAGACTGGCTGCAAAACAGAGCAGTGGTGAAATGTTCTTCATATGATGTGAATGAAGAGGCTTTTACATAATTGAAGGGAACACATTTGCTTCATATGCATGTGAAATCTGGACACTAAATAAGAAGACAGAAAAATGGATGCATTTTTATTGTAGTGTTAAAAAACGAATATTGAATGCACCATGGACTGCAAGAAGAAGGAACACATCTATCTTGGAAGAAATGCAGCCAAATTGATCCTTAGAACAGAGTTTAACAAAGATTTCATCTTACATGCTTTGGGCATGTTATCAGAAAGGACAAATCTCTAGGAAAAGGGTATTATGCTTTGGTCAGCAAAAAAGAGAAAGACCCTCAGTAAAATGTATTGCCACCATGGCTGCAGCAATAGGTTAAAATATAATAATGATTGTGAGGATGATATGGAGTGTGTAGTGTTTTTTCCGCTGTTGAGGGTGAGTATGAGTTGAAACATTATCAAAAGTATATAACAACAGTACTCAATGGAAATGCAACGTTTTCTAACTGTTTTGCATATGTAAAATAATTTTCTCCTTGGTCAATGTGTGAATACACATATTTCATTAATAAGTTTCTAGTGTATTCACTCATTATTGAAGCAGTTGATTCTTTTTGCTTATCATGATATTTTTTAATTAAAAAATCATCTCATTTATATGGTTTACATTCAATTGCAATATAAATTAACAATTATAACTCCAAAAAGGCAATATATTTCCATGAAACTAAGATGCAGAGAGATTCTTATGCTAATTCTGCTATTAACTAGTTGTCCTTAAACAAGTAACGTATCAAATGTGAGTCCTTGTTTCTTCATTATAGAAAAGAACAATTGAACCATATAATATTCAGTGTATCATTAAGTGTAGCTTTTATATTAAAAAAAAAAAACAACAAACAAACACAAACCCAAAACCGAAACGGGACCTCATTCATGCATTTACAAGAAAAAGTGAACTTTTATTTGGTCAGTTTTGTGCTTACCCATACAAACATTCATTCTTTAAATAAATAGTTACTGAGTTCCTACTTAAGCCAAGATCCTTGTGATTCTTTAGAGTGAAACTAGCTTTCTAGAAAACATTTGCTTGTTAAAAGTGAAACTAGCTCTTTGGAAGATGATTAATTGTGTTTTATAGACTATGCAAGGGCATTTGATTGTATAGGTAATGGTAAATTATGACTAATATTGCAAAGAATGGGAATCCCAGAACTTAATTTGACTCATGGGAAACCAATGTACACAACAAAAATCAGTCATCTTTTACAGAACAAATGAAGACTGTGTGGTTAAAATCAAGAAAAGTATGTATAAGAATTGTA